GAGACCCCAGCCCCAACATCCAGAGGATCACAAAGTCGAGGCCCCGGGACCTTAGGATGCAAGCAAGCGATCAAAGGCAGACGACGAAGGCACGGTTTGGGCATCCGGCCATGGAGGCGTCATCTTGTCCAGCATCCGGGACCTGGCAGCAAAGGAACAAGGCCGCCCACACTGGCCATGACGGGTTGCGAGATCCCGGCACCGTCCTGATGTTCGGAGGCTGGCACCTCTAGTGCAGACCCTCCAAGAGTGCGAGGAAGCCGCGAACCAAGAGCCAGGCAATCGTTGTCGAAGCACGTGCAGGAACCTGAGCAAAGGATCAGGCACATGCGGCAACAAGCCCAAACGAGTGCAGCCGTGCATGGAGGTCCAAGGTCCAGGCCGAAGACGAAGTAGTCTGTGCCGAGGCTCCTGACCAAGGGCTGAGCTTGGGGTGTTCAGGGTTTGGGGTTTGGATTCGGGGTTGGGGCGGGGTCGGAGTTTGGGCTTGGGGCTTCTGTGGTTTCGGGCGGGGCTGGGATTCGGGGTTTGGTGTTTGGGGTTGTAGGGTTCAGGGTGCGGGCTTTGGGGTTTCGGGTTTAGGCCACACTCCGATCCCCAAAGCTCAAACTCCACAGCCCAAACCAAACACGGAAGCCCAAACCCTAGGCAAGTGAAACCAGGAACGGAAAGATAACACCTATCACCCTGAATCCCAACCCCGCCCGAAACCACAGAAGCCCAAAGCCCGAACCTCAACCCCGCCCGAACCCCAAACCCAAACAAACCCCCTTTATTTTTCATAGCCGGCGTTCCCAGGGGGTCCTGAGCAACACGCCGGAGGAGATTCGCAACACCTACTCGGCTATTATCTTTAAGTTAATTAAGCATTATTCAACCGCCCCTCCAGCGCTTCTGAGCCCTTTTCGGCTCTCCTGGACCTCCTGCTCCCTGGCCGAAAACTCTGCTGCCTGAGGGTGCAAGGAGGCATTAAAACGGATGATGGAATACACTTAAACCCCAAACCCTACACCCAAACAAAGACAATGAATGGAATGGCCAAGGCTCGAAGGCGGTGAACGGAGCCGTGACAGACTGCTCAGCATTATTATTTATACCAGAAATACCGGTCGTCGCCCCTAGTCATGTACCGCTCCCAGAGAGTCCACCCAGGCATGGCATCTTCTCCATCTATTGGAGCATACTCCCTGTTGGGCATTTCCAAAAACTGAGACGGCCTCTGAAAGGTAGTGCAGCGTCCAGTCGGATTCACATCGTAATCCCGGCCGTCGGCCAATGTGTGGAGCTGCCAGCAATTCTTCAGACTGATTATGGAGGTCACAGCTGCAAGCCGCTCCATCCCCATCATGGCCTCAGCTTTGAACAGCTGCTGCAGCAAAAAAATCCAAATGAACCAGCAGGAGAAAATCAAAAGGAATTCCGAAAGGAGTCCAAGTCTCAGGCTCACCACTGGGAACCTCAGCTGCCTCACCAGCATCAAGAGGAATCTCCACCCCCAGGATCTCCGCCTCCTCCGCAGCTGCAGCCGGCTCTGCCACCTCCTCCACCACCACTGGCGCCACGGCAGCCGCCTCCGCCGCCTCCTCCACCACCACTGCGGTGCCACCACGGCAGCCGCCTCCGCCGCCTCCTCCACCACCACTGGCGCCTGAACTCTGAAAGAAGCTTCCAAAACGTGATTTGCAATCTTATTCTCCCCAAATAAAAGATTGATCCTTGCCAAGTCTTGTATACTGTACGACCGAGGAGCAGCCCCCATGGGTCGAGGCGGAATCACTCCAGGACCCGACGCCAACAACACAGCCTGTGGCCTAGCAGCAATGCTCTTCGGCAGAGGCGCCACAGGTGGCTCTTCAAAACCAGGGCGGACCATCACCTTGGGGCAACGAGAAGGATCCCCAAACCCAAAGCCCAGTCAGATCCTACAACCTTAAAAACCAATCGAAAGGAAGATAAACAGCAACCCAAGGAACTTGCTGAGGACCCCAGTTCACCTTGCACAAGAAAAGGGATATATATATATATATATATATACATATAGATATATATAATTACTTAGAGATGAAAAGACCTTAGTTTACACCCCAGTGGCTACGGCAAGGAAACAATAGACATTTAAGCTCCACCTGGCCTCCCCTCTCGCCTGGCGGCCACCGCGGCGGCCGCCCCAGTTCACATCCCTCCAGCTCCAGCCGCTCATGGATTCAAGAAAAAGCGCAGAAAGAGGACCATGCGGTGAGACGACGGAGTTGGTACACTTCTCGATTTGTGTGTCCGACTTAAGTAGGGTTTGCAATCGCAGGTCGGGTCGTGAGGTGGGGCTTGAGTTATTGGTGGGAAGCCAAAGGGGAGTTTAAGATTCTGGGGGTAAGGATTCCTTATTATGAACCCTACTACGGGAACCCTAATCCGTACTAAACTCCCATAAGCTAAAACATTGAATTGAACCTCCAAGTTACCCTTGAATTGCCCTGAAGGCATGAGGGGGGGGCTGTGGGGTTGACACGGACTTGAGAGTTTGATTGGCATGCAGGCACACAAGACTTGACTGATGTGCCCGGCGAATCTTCAAATCAAAGGCATGATGCAGCATGAGGGTGCCCCGAATCAAACCAAACCCGAAACCTTTAATGGACAACCCCCGGCAACCCGACCTGCGATTAGAGAAAACCCACTGCAAAAGCATTCAATCAGTCGGTCCTTCACCGTCACCACGAAGCCACTGCATGGATCGCGACCGGGCCTGGCAGCAGTAGCAGTAGCAGTAGCAGTAGCAGGAGCAGGAGCAGGAGCAGGAGCAGCAGCAGGAGCAGGAGCAGGAGCAGCAGCAGGAGCAGTAGCAGTAGCAGCAGCAGTAGCAGTAGCAGTAGCCGGGGCTTTCGCACCCGGCTGCTGGGGCTTTCGCTCCCAGCATGCTGAGGCTTTCGCGCTCAGCTGAAACCCTGTGCCGAGGCTTTCGCTCCCGACACACCGGGGCTTTCGCACCCGGTCCCTCAAAACCCACCCCACATCAACCCTCAGTAACAGCACCACCTCAAAACACAACCCGACAACGAATATAAACTACTACTATTTCGACGAGGACGACGGCGACGACGGCTACTCCCATTCTCCCAGCGCCCACCACTCACTCCCCTAGCCTGTATTATCTATTTAGGGAGGCCCTTTATTTATTTTTTGGTTTACAGGACCACAGATAAAGAAAGCCAGCCATGCCCCACACCCCAATAATTGTAAAAAAAACCGTTATTGTAAAACAATATTGGTTTACAATTATGCGCCCCCCCCCTCTGTTTTACAATTATAAGGGGTGGGGGATGCGAGCAATCACCCCTAGCCTACCTATAATACCCTCACCCGCGACCCCTAGCCTACCTAACGCCTTTTTTTGGCGAGCCCTCACCCCTAAACTACCTAACGCCGTGCCCTTGGCGAGCCCCGAACCTTAACCTACCTAACGCCGACCCTTGGCGAACCCTCAACCCTATCCACTATCCAACCTTAGCCCTATCCCTAAGTCTCCGGAGAGCTCCCCGAAGCCAGTGCCGCGGCGAGGAGGGCACGGTTTAGGGATTTTCTCGCTCTCTCTCTCTCTCTCTCTCTCTCTCTCACTGTCTCTCTCTCTCTCTCTCTCGCTTTCTTCCCTGGCGACCTCCTCTGTCTCTCTATCTCTCTCCCTGTCTCTCTCTCTTCTGTCGTTGAAACAAAAGCCAAGGTATGATTCAAACGACATACGACATATGGATGCGACATTTTTTTCCTATTCCATGTCTGCTGAATTTCCTATTTCCTCTTCCCCGCCCCCCAGCCCAAAACAATAGGAAAAACACATAGGAAATAGGAAATTCTAAGGGTGACCCCCCCCAGTTTTCCTATAGATAAAGGGGGGGGATCTGCAAGCCATGCTGACGATTGCCGCAACACAAACTGTTTTGATTTAGCACGGATTCCTAGCTTCCCACGTGTTCCAGCACATTCCAGCAGTAGATTCCACCACGTCAGTAGTGGTCTTGGCAAAACTGCTTGATGTAGGGGCTATCTTGCTGAGCTGACGAAGCAAGCGCGCCCAAGCTTCAGCAAACCGCATCCAAAGTCCTATCCTAATCGTCCTTGTTGTGTTAGTTACATCATGCCTGGTGTCTCCGAGTCGTATCCGACAACCGAGTCTGAATCGTATCAGGACCATCAAACAGAACATGTCCAAATCCTTCTAAAGGACTCCTATGTCAGAACTCCTACCGATACAAAGTCACAAGTGCAAGCAGCCAGAAAGAATGAGATCAGACTGTCGGCATCGGTGCTAAGACTGAGTTGCGAAAAAAGAAAGCACTCGAGAGAGTCCCCCTCATGTGCTGACCATTGATGCCAAGCGTTTCCCGCATGTTTCTCGACGAATGTTTCGGCTTCTACACTTGTTGACATGGGGCGTGTGTTTCAACAGATGTCAGCACTGCGTCATCCCGAAGGCTTGAACACCGCCCCGTCTCTACGTTTCTTACAACATCCATCCGATAAAACGCTGAATCTGCGACATCCTAAAGTTGGGGGGCTCTTTGTTCCACACCCCACTTCAGGAGATGAGCTGTGACAGCGACTCCGGCGACAGCAGCAGCGGCCCGCCAGAAAAAAAGGAGATGAAACCGGCTCGTTGACTGTGGGGGAGGGTCCTTGTGAGTTGTGTCTTTTGCCTGGGAGGTCGGCCAACAGAGCCCACTCGCAACGATGCCACGAGAAGCAGCTCGTCAGTTGCTGTCAGCGCTGCCGTCTGGTGAGGCCCGAAGCGGAGGCCATGGTGCCCAAAAACTGATGTGTGCATCCGCAGCCCGGGCCCAAACCCTCAAACCGCGCAACCCCACACCCTGTCGAACGCATAGCCTCACCGTGAGGAAAGCATCATCAAACTGACACGCTGCGCAAACATAAGGACATCCTAAGCCCTCATACAACAGTAGCGTTGATAAGCTTCAGTCCCTCAACCATAAGAGCTTTTGTCAATCCGCCTGGCCGGCTCTGCGGAAGACTCTTCCTTGTGGAAGATGGGTTCGGCAACCGGGGGCGTAGGTGTTTCTGTGATGTGTTTACAACGGCTTGATGAGGCGTTCACTGGCTGCTGCAGGGTTCTGTAGGGTTTCTACCGGATGTTGTAATTGGTGTTGAAGAGCTTTGAGGGTTGTTGGTGTGGGGAGCTACAGTTCAGTCGCAATGTCCTGCAGTTCGGTGTGTCAGGGTTGGCATAGCCCCAAAGGACTTCAATCTCAAGCCTGCTCCGCTCAAGGTTCGGCCGGATAGATGATCTGATGACATGGGTGCTGTCGCTGCTACTCCGCACGATGGGTGCCCGGTTGGGGCTGAAACCTTTCCGCGCGCATGCAATTCAGTAGTAACTAGTAGATGGCCCGAAATTCACAAGATTTTGAAAGAGCTGCGCTGAGTCTTCAAGTTTGTCTGAAGAACGTGCGGAGCAAAGGGAAGCCCCCCGAATGCCTCCTTCGCTTCCTCTTTTAAACCCTCCTTCTTCTCTTCCTCCTTTTTCACCTTGTCAGGCATCGAGGAGGGACATAGAGAATCATACTGTAGAAACCGCAAACTTGTCCTCCCTATAAAACCATAAACTCACTGTGCAACCCAGACATCCCATGCACCAGTCACAGGAGCGGGACTCCTGCAAGTCTTGGGAAGGCCTATCTTCTTGATCCTACACCCGAAAGGGTGTTTCGTATGCCTGCAATCCTGGATGCAAAATCGACTCCAAAAGGAAACCTGAGCAGTTGCTCAAGGCTAACATCGGAGCCTGAAGCGTTGGAACTCTAGTGAAGCTTCTACATTACCAAGACATGCCCCCATAAACTAATCGCTCATCATGCCTCGCTTCTTGTCTAGCCCTTTCCGTTTCTCAAATGATTTGACCGCCTTGACAGGGCCCTAGAAAGATCCAGACTGGCAGCCGCAACCCCCAGCGGTTCCCCCTCACGAAACAAAACCTGTACTACAACATGCAACACAGAACACGTAGCACTTCTAAATCCCGCCTCCTCCTTTGGTGGCTCCTTCTTCTCGGCCTTCTCCTCCTTGCTACGCTTCGGGCTCCGGCCTCAGTGTAGGCTTGTGTACTCCCTATACAGGGTTCTATATACCGTCGTCATCGGATCCTACATAGTCTATAGTACGTGGGGTTCTATGTTCCGTCAGGATTTTACAGGGTTCTAACGGCGTTCTGCATGGGTTGTATGGGTCTGGTTCCAAAAGGGCTGTACATCTGAAAGACTTTTCAGAATCCTCTGAAAAAACACAGTATCATGCATGTACATATACATGCAACTTATGCAAAAGGCTTGCCTAGGTTTGTTAAGCATGGGGCTCTGACATTAGAGGTTAAAGGATTCATGCCTCTGTTTTGTAGATCCTGTAAGGGGCGAAAGGAGCAGCAGGGCTTTTTCAGACCTGGCAATATTGGGCTCAGGCTTTGAGCTTTGGGGTTTCGGGTGCTATGTGGTACGGGCAGCATGCAGGGGGTTTAGGAATCTCATGCCATGATATGGTGTCAGCGGAGCATATTATATTGTGTGTCCAACGGGCCCGAGGGCTCTGTTTCTTGAAGATCCCTCAGGCAGTCCGTGCTGAGACTGGCAGTGGGGGCTATAAGATTTGGGCTTCGTCATATCCCCACAGCGCGGCAGGCTCGAGTAGTTCAGGCTTTATGGAGTTCTTGGGTGTTATCGGGGTGTGGGCCCCTTTGCAACAACGGTTGAAACACTGAGTTCGTGGGTTCCGATGATAGCAAAGCTCGAAACTCTTGACCCTCCTGTGGCACGTCACGTAAAACTGCCCTGTACTCAGCTTCGATCCCTAGCAAAATTACACCTATGGCTGTTTCTTAGGGGTTCTAGTAACCCAAAATTAAACACGGTTTCTAAGTGGCCCTGAGTACCTATCTCCACAAACTAAGGAGAAAGTCTTAACCCTGGAAGTTCCCTTGTAAATTCTGCTACACCCCATGTGGCGGTTAAGGGTTGCCAACTCAGCTGTTCAGGAACTTCTCGAAGTCTTACTCTGTGGGGCTGGCTACCCTAGCCCAGAAGAGCTTAACCTTCTCAATTCTGGCAGGGTTAAACCAGGAAAGGGGAAAGTATTCTCCTGACAATACCTTTATAGTACAACAGGTTACTTACTGAGCCACTAAGCACTGCATCCGAAGCATTGGGAGGCCCACTCCGAGCGACAGTTTTGGCTGCCGGCGCTGGAGCTTTTGGAGCTTTTGGGGCCTTCGCTCAGAAGAATCTAGAAGCCTCAATAATAACCTATACTTTTTTAAGGGTTCCTTAGTGTAGTTATAATAAACCTACTGGCTGCTTTACTTCTCTGCGGGTTGGGTTCTAAACTTTCGTAAACGACAGATCTATTCCAGCAGTAGCCCTGGCCAGGGGGTTCTCTAGACTCTTTAAGCATGTATTGCCCTAAATCACAAGCACTGTAACCTGGACGCCAAAGCCTTTTCCACTCTGACGCCGGGCCTTTTGGGCGGTTTTATGCCCAGCTTCATGCCTGCCAGGAAAAGCCGGAGGGCCTGTTGCTGTTCTTATGGCTGTAAAGTTTGTGAAGATGTTGTATCGTATATGATAAGATCATATAATAAGTACGGTATAACATAGTCAAACACACAGTAACATAGTATAATATGACATCATATACGACAATGTAATGCAATTTAGTGGCAGTTCATGCCCCAAGCCCTAGATGTCCGTGGCATTCGGCAGAGGTTCTGAGCTTGCTGCGGGTCCAAAGGCTCAGAGCTGTTCAGGCCCTACGCCCCACACCCCTGAGACCCTAAGAACTCAACCCTGAAACCCTGCAACCGAAACGAATCGAGAGCAGCTTTCAAAGAGCTGCCATGGTCGTTGTACGTAGGTCACAACACGGATAAAGGTTGCACGTGCACATTCTTATTACTGGCTGCTTATGGCTAGCAAGGGTCCTCCGCTATGGACCGAGACACCGTGCGCAAAGAAGGAATCTGCAATCGTTATGCGCTGTAGCCCTGCCATAGGAGCCTTCTACCCCAGACATGGGATTGCTGGATTTCTGTCGTCCTTCGGGAGCCTACCAAACTCCTATATAACTTCCGAAAGCCCACGTTGCCTTCCCCGCGTCGTCATCTGCATGTAGTGCTCGTTGACTTTCTTGAGCCCCTGGCCCAGGGAGCTGGGCTGGGGCTTCTTCGAATCAAGTTCTAGGCCTAGAGCCCTAAACCCTTGCTGTCCTCAACAAACTCCCAGTGCTCAGGCATGATCGCTTCTCGGATGCTTTTGGGGCTTACGCTTGTAGGGTTTGGCATTTAGAGACGTCAGCGACAGGGTTTGGGGTGCAGAGCTGTATGATCTGTATGCCCGAACTGACAAATCATGCGGACGGTAAGGCTACTTCGTGCTTGAATGTGTCACACTAACCCGTATACAGACCTCAAGAACCTTACACCCGACACCTTTGAGTCGCGGCCTCGCCTGAAGAGCACCCATGGGCAGGGCGAGGTAGCGCCTGAGTCCGCAAAGGCTCTCTCTGTACCGGCTTAGGCTTTTTGACTTTTTGGCTCAAGCTTAGTGTGACCGGGGGAGTGCCATTGCAGGAGTTTCTGGGTATGTTGCGGGAGTAATTAGGCTGTATCCCAAGTCGTATACTTTTGAAGACTACCCACAACAGGTATTTCTGTGGGTTTGGAAGGCATGATATCCAGGCTAGCGCATACACGCAACTCGCAAGATACTCCTGATGATTGAAGCCTAGGCTAAAGTCTCAATTGCATCGCTGCCTGGATAGTTCCTTAAGCCCCGAACCCTAAGCCCGAAACCCTAAACCTTGTGTCATCAAGCTGATCCAAAAAAATCAGAGCGCGGAGCTGGACTTGAAAGATGATGATCATGATGACTACTACTGGGGGCCCAAAATCACTAGAATAGGGTTTGGGGGTCCCTCATAACATAAGGGGGTACGATTACTAATTACTTCCCCCCCCCTGAGCCCGTGGCAAGTACATCGAAGGAGGATACAGCCGATCAGGCAAAGGGAAGTCCGGGTTGATCCGCGCGACTGCGAGGGCCGATGTTTAAAAAAGAAGCATGAGGTCTGGAGGGGTGCATTATGGTACAATATACTCTACAATGTTATGATATTACACCACAATTTACCAAACATACGCTACAATGTTATGATATTAATTTACCACAATCATGCAGGGCAGGGCTTTACCCTTCAGGACCTCCAGCCTGGAGCCATCTTCTGACCAGGGCTGCTCGCTTCTCAATTGAACAGCCATTGTAACAGCAATAAACACAACACCTGTTTACGACCCCGTCAAATCATGATATTACTTGCCTGTGACGTCTGCAGCGCTCTTCAGCTGAAGTGCCGTCGATTCGACGGTGCTGCGAACGGTGGGCACCGTACCTGCAAGGAAAGATGTCAGGATGGGTAGTACTTGGAGGTGCATGCGTAGTTAAAAGTGTGGTTATAAGTAGGGAAAATGCGTACAACCCCTTAGGGGACTTAGAACGCCATTTATGACTACTCCTGAAGCTCCAAGTAGTAACTCGAGAGCTAACGGGCTTCAGGCCTCGGGCTTAAGAAGCATTATCCTAGCCGCCCTTAGAACCAAAACAAAAGCCATAGTCTTATTGAATGATTCTGATCCCCTTACATTCATTCTATAGTAAGAGTGAACAGTGATTCCTAAGAGCAGTAAGGTTATTGCGGTAGTGCTGTAAGCCCACCATGGGACCATGACTTCCGACGAATATAGGTGCTGAAGGACTAATGACTAAAACAGAGATTCACGGTCTATGATAATTACTCTGTTAAGACACTTTTCATTATTCGATTATGTAAAGCGGAAATCCAAAATATGTGGCACTACTTTTCTGTTACAAATACCTCCCCTAAACCCTAAACCTTAAACTCTCTTAGGATAACATTTTTGTTACAAATACCTCTATGACAGTATACAAAAGCCTCCACATCCGATCTCCAGGATAAGGAGTCTCATCATCCGCCCGTGGGAGACATTCAGAGACCTCGGACTGACCATTAGGAGTGCTGATCGGTTTCTACAAAAGTCCTTTATGGGTAGTTCTCTAGATTAGGGTGCTTTTACATACTTTACTGGGAACCAACGCTGAGAAGATGAATGAATTCATCACGGAGTTGAAGGGCAGATGATGCCAGCTTTGAGTCTTGAACGACATGCTCCAATTCAACCTGTGGCAACGGTTTGCAGACCTGATAAAAGGTCCTCAAACGTTTCTTGCGATTCTGCTTCGAATTGGGTGAATGCGGTGCAAGCGCGAGACACAAATTCGAGCCGGAACTGTGGCGGCTGTCTCCACCCACGGCATTCCCTGCATCATCGCTGTCAACCTCAATGCAAACAGGCTCAGAAACTGCAGTGCTTGAAGCTGCTTGTTCCCGGGCTGCAGCGGCTTCAACCTCAAATTGACGCACCAAGCGCTGTTGAATGATTTCGAATTGCTCATCCGAGCATTGTGTCCCAGTGAATCGGCAGACTGCCAACGAAGCTTTCAGTTCATAATACGCTGGTGTTCTTGGCAATAAAAACTCGACTGTTCTCCGTAACGCAATTGGCAGTGACCTGGTCTTGGGGAGGGTTGAACCAGTTGTAAATGCATGTCCTCGGTTGTCGGGGAGTGGGGGTGGGGGGGTGGGCGGCGGGGGGGCGGGGCGTAATTCAGGCTATTTCCAGCCCGAAACCCGACCACTCAACACCCTGAGGCAAACCCCTAACCGCCACGGAGGGCACCTAACCGCCGCGGAGGGCGCCTAACCGCCACGGAGAGCGAAACCCTAACCGCCATGGAGGGCGAAACCCTAAGGGAGGGGGAGGGGGAGGGCGGGGGGGAGGGGGAGGGGAGGGGGAGGGGAGGGGGAGGGGAGGGGGGTGGTTGGGTGATGGGTGGTGGGGGTAAGGGTGGGGGAGGTGAGTGGGGTGGTCTTGCAAACCTACATTGGAACAAACACTACCAGACGAATAAACCCAGTCACTATCAAAAGAAAAGTTGATAATGAAAAGCCATGACAAGCAGATCATGATCATGTCTACGTCTACGAGCCTACGGAGTCTACGAAGGTTTGACTTCACGACCTTCTTAAACACGATTGTGGAGTGTTGTGGAGATGTTGAGCTGCCGGCAAGCCCTGGCATGCATGCCTATTGAATAAAGCTGGGTGCAATCCATCCATGGAAACCGCCAGATGCTCTTCAACCTTGACGGCGTGTCGTCGCAGAATTTGCAACAGGCAATCCACCACAAACTCAGCAATGGCACATGCCACAGCAAGTTTCGAGCAAATTAGCCATAATAAGCCCCAACCCCTCTACAAGATAACTTTCTTACTTCAGCCGTCAACGGCCAAGTCTGGCTTTTCACCAAAATCGATCGGCCTGCAATCAAACATTCGTATATGCGGGCGCTCTCAATAGCATCAAAACACAAACTTGAGGATCCATTGAACCTTGCTTTGGGACATTACAGGAATGCACGATTTTATTTTGCTGAATTCTCGAGCCCATCCAAAAGGAAGCAAATCCTTGAGGGCGGCGGCGCTACTATCAAACATCAGCCTGAATCAGCCTGATATGCGTACAACCCGTCGGCATCGGCAGCCATGCAGGGCCTGACGCCTAGCGTTCTGGCCACAAGCCCGCAAGCACATTAACAAGAATCAGACAAAATGCGCCGTGACAGTTTCCTTACCCTTCCGATTGCTTGGAAGTGCAACAAGAACAGACCGAATTCGCCGCGACAGTTTCCTTACCCTTCCGATTGCTTGGAGGTGCAACAAGAACAGACCGAATTCGCCGTGACAGTCTCCTTACCCTTCCGATTGCTGGGAGGGTGCAACAAGAATCAGACAAAATTATCCGTGACAGTTTCCTTACTGTTCCGCTTGCTTGAGAACAGACAACATTTGCCGTGACAGTTTCCTTACCCTTCCGACTGCTTGGAGGGTGCAACAAGAATCAGACAAAATGCGCCGTGACAGTTTCCTTACCCTTAACTTGCTTGGAGGGCGCAACAAGAACAGACAGAATTCGCCGTGACAGTTTCCTTACCCTTCCGATTGGGTATACTATACCATAGATATAAAAAGGAACCTCAGAATAGTAGCATGAGTTTGGGACGCGTAGTCTTTCGAGGTGCCGAACACTGCCAACCCTCATAGGAAGCCTGCGTGCTTCTTCTGGGCATGAACGGTTTGAACAGGATTTTGGGGGTTTAGGGTTGGGGGGCACACTGTAGTGTTTTGGGGAAGATCTAGAATAGGGTTTTTGTGTATGCTATACTTTAATATGACAAGGGGCCGAAAAGATGTATTTAGTCACTCAGTCTTCTATATTTCAACCAGAGAACACAAGCCATAATGCCCCCGGAAGCACCAAGAAAAGTTCAAGCTTGGTTTTCTGGTCCTTCATGGTTTAGCGGTTTAGGGTTTGAGTAGGTTGCAAACAGATGCAGCACATCTCCCCTCTACACCCTTCGACAGATCCCTACAGCGCTGCAAAAGTACTATGGGGACTTTAACAATTTCAATAGGGTTTTGGGGCCCATTAAGCCATGGTTATACAAACGAACCCCCCAAACAAGTATAGGTAGTTGTGTAGGCCCTTATATTACGAAGGAATACAAAAGTAATGCCTTAGTGTAACTCTAGTTCAATATAGCCCCAATATTATTCTAATTATGTGGGCCCCTATAATACGAACGAAGTGCTGAAGTTTCAGCCAATCGCCTTGGGGCGGCTTGGCCCCTGAGGTGAAGGCCTTCCGACGTCCACCAGCACCTCCCTCCAGAGCTGAAAACGGCTCTCCTGCTAGACGTGGGAGTTATCCGAAAACAGGGGACCCTTTGAGGGTTCCTTTTGAGGGATCTATAAGGGTTCTATAACAAAGGTTTGGGGTTTAGGAATGTGGGAGTTTCCGAAAATACAGGACCCGACAGAAGAACCCTAAATAGTAGGATCCTCATCATAAGGACCCCCAAATAGGGTACTGTGCTCCTAATTCTGGAAACCCCCATTTGGCGCCATGGCATAGCTTTCTCTTAGCTTGCAAATCCACCAAAGGATACCTAGGCTGTTTTGTATAGTTGCACAGGATCTGGGGTCTTCGAACGTGGGGTTGCAAGTCATTCGGTAACTTCAGCTGGGCCCAGTGCCTGTCATGGCCGTCATTTCCGCCCTTTGACAAGTCTTTCACGTTTTTTTTCGGGATTGCATCTCAGTGTGAGGTGTCTAATTCCTGGTACAGCCGTACCCTTGAACTAGTCAATTTCAGAGCCGAGGTCTCCGTGAACCCGGACAAACCCTAAATCGTATAGAACCCTTAAAGTTACCCTACTTACAACTCCACCTATAATTACACATGAACCTCCAAGTAGGCGCTACGCCCTATACCCGTATAGAACTCCTATAGATCCAGTTACAGAGACTCTTAAAGGAACCCTTATAACTACCCATGAACCTCCAAGTAGCTTCACTTCTGTGAACTAAACCCCTCAACCCAAAAACCCTTGAACCCTCATCCCCTAAAACCCTAAAACCCCTAAACCCCTACATCCCCAAAACTCAACACCCCTAAACCCCCTAAACCCCGTAAAAAACTGGAAGATCTCCTGCTCGAAGTCGCTCACCCAGTGTGAGTCATTGAACCTCGCGCCGTTCAGGGCGCTTCGCTCAGTTCAGGCTTCAGGGTTTAGGGTTTAATATAGGGGACCTGAAAAAAGGCGTAAAACAGGGGCCTTGAGGGCTTCTATAAGGGTTATGATAAGGATGCAATATATAGGGGCCTTGGTACTCAGACTATAAGGTTTTGGGTGTATATTATACTATACAGATAATCAGGACCCATCCCCCCCCAAACAATAGGTCAGCGGTCGAATCTCCGGGTGTTAACCTTACGGGCCGAAGGTAGAATCCATGTACCCAAAACAGTCTATAGAACGGACACTTACCCATCCGGACTTTAAGGGGACGTTCTCATTATAACCTGAACCTCTGCGGTAGTCTGGAGTTTCACGTCGGGGGTCCCAGGTTTACGATCTGAGGAACTGGGGTGCCAAAAAGACTCCACAGCGCCTGCCGGCCGGTTTGGCTTTCTCCAAACCGAAGCAAACCTGCTGCGATTGGGAACTCCTCCTTCGGTAGTTTGGGGGAGATCAAAGAAACCAAAAAATGGCCAAAGCAAATGCCCAAACATCCTAATCCTGATTCTGTCGGCTACGGCTCGAGTCGGTGTTGCCCCGCCTTTGCTACTTGGAACTGCGGTATGGCCTGCAAACAAAACGCACACGACACTGTTGGGCTCCAGCTCTGCTTGCTTCAGGGCACACCGATTTCGAACAACCACGATCTATCTTTGGAGCCTCGTGGTGCCAGTATCCCCCAATACTTGCACGTATGACAGGCCTTGTCGTATCCCTACAAGTACCCTTGTTGTGCCCCTGGTTTACGCTTACAGTCTCCTGTTGGAGTAGCTCAGGCCCCGACATCAAGACTCTTGGGCGCGCATGGCCGTTGCAGAAGGGACAGCAGGGCCTCAGAGCCACGATGCTTCTTCGGGATTTAGGGTACCTAAGGTATTTGTGGCATTAGGGTTTAACTGCTTCGTCCTTAGGGTACCTTGGGCATGTTCGGGTAACAACGGGCGTTCGGGAGAGAGGCTCGTTGTTTCGAAGGACCTGGAGCTGTGCAACCTTGTATCAAGACCTCGAACTTCTGCTTAGGGCTTAGGGTTTTGAATTCAGGTGTACTGTATGTTATTATGTGTTATTGCGCTGTATGTTGTTCTACTACATTTCAACTATATTTCCATCTCTGGGAGTGATTTGCGGACTACCCAAGGCGAAACTGATGAGCGCACCGACGCCTTCTGATGAGCAGGGCCAAAGATGCATGGACTCTGTGAACAGAGCCCGTGCATCCTAGGTCTTGATGTGTCGTATGGCTACTGAGGCATACTGGGAGTCGAGGCTAGGGAACGCAGACTGTTCTGGCTGTCGGCGTAAGATGTTT